TCCAGCTTGAGGTTCATCAGAGGACAAAATCTACTGGCAACTTTTTTTTTTTTTTGGATCTGACTTGATTTTGAACACCTGGGGTTGGCAACACTGAAATAATTAATTGTACTTTTTCTGAATTACCATTAATTGGTGTTAGCTATGTTTGTAAGCTACCTCATCTAGCAAATGTCAATTAAATTAAAAGCCTTGAGCACTATGCTGTAGGTGTTTACAAGAATACAGCCTCTTGGTAATGTGAAAATTAATGTAACTTAGAATGAACTGTATTAGCAACAATCAATATTGGTAGAGACAAGTAAGTTTTAACATAAGGTTATAGCCAAAGAATGAGGCTTGTTCTCCTTTGTAACAGTAGAAAGCTCCTCATCAACATTACCTAGGCCAAAACATGTTCACCTGCGCCCTGCTCTTCAGAGGTCTCTCAGTGTGAATGACTTGTCTCAGTGTCGGCGGGACTATGCTGGAATGTACAGGCTGTATGGTATGTCCACGTGCTGCTTGTTAGCCAAGCTGCACTGTTGTAAAGTAGTGAGATAAGTTAAGTCACAAACCTTTTCACCTTTTTCATACCTTCTCTCACAAAATAAAGCACAGAAGAGAGGCACTGGAAGCCAGGTGAGGACTATTCTTGCCTGTTAGTAATTTCACACTTCACATTGAAGCACATTAAAAGTGGATGTAAAGATCACTGAACTGTTGCACCAATCCTAACTGTCATTTGTTAGAAGCGGAAATCTCATTTGTGTAGGGTGAAAAAAAAAAAAGATTATCTAGAATTTATTTTTATTTTTTGTCTTTGAACCATGATTATAAAATATGCAAGTCATTTTCCTCATTGCAGGTGGGAGGGAAAATTATAGACTGAATAATTTTCTTTGCAAAACTGAATTTATGGGTTGGGGATATTTGAGGAGTTGTTCAAAATTACCTTGTATATCATTTTTATTTTTGCGTTATTATTTTAGAAACACAACAGCTACCTCTAAATGTGCTTCCAGTACAAGAGAGTATAAGCCTCTATGACTAATCTACCACTGATTTTAAAAAATTGTTATTAGCTTTGTATTAATATAAAATAACTCACTAATACATTTTTTTTCCTTGGAATTCTGGCACATTTTATTTCCTTTAATTTTACACACTACCACCTATTATTGCTGCTTCTGCTGCTTGTGTATCCATTTTCTGGAATGACTTGAACAGAACTTTTTTCCTTTCTTGTTTGTGTTGACTGATGTAGAAAAACCACTCTTCACCCGTGATGCATCACAACTGAAAGGGACTTTCCTCAGCACAACTCTCAAGAAGAGCAACATGGGCTTTGGATTTACCATCATTGGTGGGGACGAGCCAGATGAGTTTCTACAAGTGAAGAGTGTAATTCCTGATGGGCCTGCAGCACAGGATGGTAAAATGGAGACAGGTAATTACATTGGTTCTTGGGGTGCTTGCTGTGATAACGGGAATCAGCTGCTGTTGTTTGATTGGCACCACCTTCCCTCTAGCCTCCTTCATGAGTAGGTGGTATCTTTCTGTGTCATTTTTCAAGTGATAGGAGCCATATGTCAGGGGGAAATTATCTACCAAAAGAAGAATTTCCTTTGCAATCCCTCCTTTTACAAATGTCAGAAAAACTCTTTGCTATAAGATTTTATACAAGGAAAAAAATGCTCAGATATGCATAACAAATCCCAGGTATGATGCTTTTGTGTTTACGGGCTCAAATTACCTGAGAGAATTTTGTGTGTATAGAGAACTATAGAGTAATCTATAGACTCAAATTTCTCTATGAAAAGATTGTTTTGTAAAATAGTCAAATTAGAGTTTGAGCCAACAATCTTGCTAATGAGGGTAGCAACTACTTAGAATAAAGATTCTGGCCTGACCTCAGATCCGTGTATTAAAACATGGGTTTAGCTGTCAAACCAGCTGTCACAAATGCTTCTTTGCCTTCCGAGAGTGTTTACAGTCCCGTGGTCTGGGCTGAAGTAGGAAAATGAAGACTGGCCTGGGAAAACACAAGTGAACCCATACACAAAATTCTTACTCAATCCCAAAAGAAATTTTTGAGGAGATAAGAACACTTGGAATTATCACAATTCAGTTATAACCCAAGAGGTCTTTGGTAGTATGAAGCCACAGTGAACACAACGCATATGGATATGGTCTTAGCCTGCCATAGACCTCTGCTGGACATCATACAAGTTAGTGGGGGAAGTGCCTTTGGAGCCTCTTGTATTGTAGGGAAAATCCACATATACACATGCATAGAAGTTGTGCAAGGAGAATTCTATCAGATAAACTAGCCCCTACTTCTGTAGATTTTTATGCTAAAGGGAATTACCCAGGATTATTGCCAGTAGAGTAAGGGCCAGATAATTTTCTCTAAGAATTTGGAAGCAGGGATTGGCAATTTTACTATTTTTAAAATGCCATTCTTGTGCAAACCTGCTATTAAAAATTATGAAAGTTCTTAATGCCAGATAAATAATAAAAGCTAGCTGATACAACATGAAGTAAAATGTGATTTTTTTAGTAACAATTTATAACAACTGTTCTAGCAACTTGAATCGTATTCATATTGTTGCCATCTCAGGATGCAAATTGGTATACAAAGGGAAAAGTGAAAAGGCTGAGTGGTAAAGAAATGGCGTGACAGACTAGCTGAAACTCCAAAATGATGAGTGCTGTAGACAATAAAACTAATGTGTTACCCATGAACTGCGATTGATGAGTTTCAAATTACCTAATTTGCATCAGGGTCTTTATGAGGTAATGGTTCAAGATAGCCTGATCCAGAACTCGAAGTGTGATGTCCAAGCAGTATTTTAATGTGTAAGGGTTATTGATAGAAGATGTTCCTGAATTTCCCAGAGAAGGGTTTGGAGTATACTTACAGCTAAGCCAAATTCTGCTTAGCTGAAACAGATGTTGGTGCCATTGTAACACTGATGGTGGCAGTTGTCTTATTTACTGCAAAGAGAATTTATGGGGAAAAAAATTAAAACTTTACAGCAAAATAACATTAAAGGTTTTGTTGAAAACAACAAATGCAAGGAAGTTACGAAATTAGATGAAAATATCCTAAACATATAGAATTATTCTATCTTATATTGCATATTTCAGACATATGCCTGATGTACATATGAAAATTCTACCCTCAGATGACTCCCTGCAACTCCCTAAAAATCAAGTTTGCCATCAGAGATCCTGTTTCTCCCTGATAAAAAAAAATTGCAAATTCTCTTACAAAACCCCCAAATCCATTATTAAAATAAGCCCCCCCCCTTGCCCTGCTGATGCCCCTTGACCCCTGCCACCCCGAGACCTGCTGGAGGGGGGCCCCCAGCTGCCAGGGCTGTGGGGCCAGAGACCCAGGTCCACAGCCCCCTGCCCCAGCAGGAGGTGGTGGCTGCTGCAGTGAAGCACAGCATGGAACCCCTCCCCCCCCCAGTGCATGCTGTGGGCTCGGACAGGGATGGGGCCAGCTCCCCACTGTGGCATGCAGTCCCAGGGGGTCAGGAGGGAACCCATACCCCCCAGACCTGCTGAAACCCAACACACAAATCTGGGGGCCCGCACCCCCTGGGAAGGGCTGGCAGAATGATCAGAGAGCTGGGGAATTGACCTGGGGGCTGGGGAATTGACCCAGGGGCTGGGGAATTGAACTGTGGGCTGGGGAATCAAATGGGGGGCTGTGGACTTGAACCAGGGACTGGGGAATCAACCCAGGGGTGGGGAATCAAACAGGGAGCTGGGGAATGGACCCAGGAGCTGGGGAAATGTTCAGGTCCCTGAACACTCGCCCAGTTCCTCGTTCAATTTCCCAGCTCCCCGATCTTTCCCCCACCTCTCTGATCACTTCACCCAGCTCTTCCTGCGGGGCACAGGCTCCCAAATGATGTGGGATGACAGCAGACTGCCGCTGCCAGCCGGGAATGGCAGTGGCTCTGGGCTATTTCCCCAGCCCACAGCAGCAGCCTGCTGAAACCCTGCACACAGATCCAGGGCTCATGCCATCCATGAAGAGCTGAGGGAATGATCAGAGAGGCAGGGAATCAAACAGGAGCTTTGGCTGACAGATGAATCTACTCCAGGTCTCAGACAGCGCACGGCGACCTGCTGAGCCAAACTGCACCCGCACAATGGTGCAGCTGCTGTGTGGGTGCCAGGTGTGAGGGGGCAATCCATGCTGCCCCCGCTATCCCACACTGTGGGGGGGGGCTCGGCCATGAGCCCTCAGAAGCCCCAGTTGCCACTGCTGCATCTGGTGAGTGCAAGGCTTTTTATTTATTTTTTTTTTTTTTTTTTTGCTTTTTTTTTTTTTTAAAGCTTCGCACTCACCGGCTATGGAGCGTGCAGATGACAGCATGCTGCCACTGCTGGCTGAGGCTAGTGCCAGCGCCAGCACCTGAGTCTGTCCGGCACAGCCCACACCACGCCAAGCACTGGGAAGAACCCAGTGCTGGTGCTGGCCCGAGCCAGCAGTGGCAGCGTGCTGTCATCCTGCACATAGATCATTGGGCCCACACCTCTGGAGGGCTGTGGGTCTGTGCCAGACTCCTCCTTGGGGGAGCGGGCCCTGGATCTGCATGCAGGATGACATCAGGTGCTGCTGCCGGCAAGTGATATTAGTTTTGCTTTGAACCAATTGAGTGCAGTTTCACAAGAACCCCTGCACCTATCTCCTTGAAACTTGACATGCCTCATGCCCTCAGAAGGGGCTACCATCCCTGCAAGAAATGACAACGTTATTGGCATTTTTGTGATTCCCTATAATAGCCTATGGGCGAAACTTCGAAATGCGTCAAAACAGCGAAACAGTTTAGATGAAACAAAATGGAACAGTGCTTCAAAACAGCAAAATGAAACACTGTCCCTTCCAAACAGCAAAATGGAAGTTGAAATGAAGCACTGCTGCTTTGTGCAGCCCTACTCACTAATATACCTTTTTCAAGTTAACTGTGTTGGATGGCACAGAGTCATTTCATATAATTTTGCTTTTCTTGTTTTTAAATAGCTTCTGTACTGTGATTCTTATCTTGCCTCTTAAGTTACAGTAGTCTAACCATAACAAGAAGATTATGATTATAACTGCCTATAAAGAACCAGGTTTCTAAGGAAATCTTATTGCTCCACCAATAACTCCAGCTGTAACACTTTTCATTAAGAAAGGAAGCCCAAGTAAGGCTCTTTATCGTACTCTACTACTAAATGCCCTCCGTGATGGGAACTGCAGGCATCACACCCAAAATAGATTGTCACAGATGATGGGATTGATGATAGTTATTAGGGGTGTACAAAGCAGGCCCTATTCAATTCAGATTTGGATTCATCCTGAATCAGGGACACTGATTTGATTCATTGATTTGGATCACTGTCCCTAATTCAATTCAGCCAAATCCAAAGATTTGATTCTGATTTGGAGAATCAGCGATTCGGATATAGGCACAGCTTTAAATGTTTTTTCTATATACCCCAAGGTATCAGTGTGGCTTGTGAACGCTGTGATGCTGGGGTGCATGGAGCGTCCCACAGGAGTGCAGGGGGGCCCTCCACGTGCTTGGTGGTGAACATACTTTTGGCCCACTGGAAGTACTTTGGGTCCACTTCCAAGTTTGCTGCCAAGCACACTGGGGAGCCCCCCATGGTTCTGTGGGACACTCCATGTACCGAGCCGGGGTGGGCCCCATGCACTCCACAGCGGACCTGGAAGTGCTTCTGGTCCACTTCCAAGTCTGCTGCTGAGCATGCTGAGGAGCCCTGCATTCTTCTTTGGGACACTCCATACGCTCCAGCATTGCATCATTCACAACCTGCCTGCTACCTAGAGTTATGTAGAAAAAACGTTTAAAGCTGTGTCTATGTCCGAATCTCTGAATCTTTCCAAATCTCTCTGAATTGATTCGGGGGGTTCTGATTCAATTCAGAGAGATTAAAGGGTCCTCTGATTTGATTTGGATTCGGAGATTCA